TATGGATCCGTGCGCGCGAATCCATAGTCCGGCGCACGGATCCATAGCTGCCAGCAAACAGTCCGGAATTTTAGGGGGGGACACAGAAGGCAGACATTTGGGACGTGGGAGGAACTCGCAACTTAGATGGGGGGTCGTACAGATGGGGGGCGAGAGCAATGCGCTTTTGATTTGGCGGTGGTTCCATTTGCGTGTGGTCTTACGCGTTTTCACTAGAATTTGTACAGCGCCCCATGACGCCTGTCCTATGTAACACTTCATATGTGAACATCAGAGAGATGGCACCATGATTGCATGAAGAAATGGATGACGATGTTGTACGAGACAGTATGCGCATTATGTCGCTATTCGTAACATCGAACTGATTCCTCTGCGTATTGTGCGGTCATGCAGAAATGCAACTGTGATTCAGCCACTGTGATAGCAGGTTGGGCACGTCTCTGCAGCTGTAACATGTGGAAGGGGCGTTTTTTCAATTGAAACGTGAACCTCAAGCTAAAATGTGCATGCTGTATTTCATTCAAAAGCACTAAGACGACTAAAAAACAAAAATAGCATCAGAGCCAATTTGTGAATCCGCATTTATTTAGATTTTTACCAATTAGTTTGTTTTGAATTTTTAGAGAAGTGAAGTTGATTCATGCACATAAATACAATAACTGTGTTAGGGTTGGGTTGCTGTATAGATTATAAGTAGCTTGCTCGCCTCTACCCGATCCAAGTGAATAATGTTTACATGTGAGACCAAAGTTCATTTTTGAGCTATACTAATTTTCATCATAGTATGTTTGCATCTATATATCTGTACTTACAGCATGGATGTACATAAAAATCTGCACCAACATTTCAATGTTCAGATGTTGATACAGGGAGGTTATTATGCAGTGAAGGATGTGAAAGAAAAATGGAAGACAATTAAAATCTTTCACGTGCCATAATGCGTTCACTGAACTACATTATAGACAGGCTATCACAAGTGTAGAGCCTGATCAGCTTCGGGCCTGAGTAAAACTTCAAATAGTGGATGACTGCTATTTATATAAAGTAGTGGCGACTGAATAGGTATTTATGCAGAGTATGTATGAGACATTCTGGTTAGATGGTATTTTCTTGGTATCACCAATCTACCTGACCTTAAATGAATATCATGGTAGCCGATCACATGTGACACATGTGGCCCGACTGCATACGATTAAAGACAAATATTGTAATATTGTATTTGTGCCACTAGTATATAAAATGATTCCTGATTATATTTATGCACACAAGATATGGTGTCATTGACTTTATTGCAGAGGTTGCATGTAGTTCATATAGTCGTCATCCAAGTTTAGTATATATATTTAGGTAAAGTGTAGGAGTGTGTGCGCATGTGTGCGTGCATGTGTGGTGTTGTGTGACTGTGTTGTGCGTGCGTGCGTGCGTGCGTGCGTGCGTGCGTGTGTGTGTGTGTGTGTGTGTGTGTGTGTGTGTGTGTTGGTGTGTGCGAGGGCACGTGGATGTTTTGGTGTGTGCATGTGCGCGCGATACTCCTAGTTCACGGTGAATGTATATAAATAGACTCGTCTCCTCTGTCCTCTAAGCTTGTCTGTATGTGGTATAGCCTCCAGTATGGTGCTGTAAGTATGGTGTCATAATATCAAATATGTTTTTCCCTTTGATTACCCACACGTCCATTGTTTGTATGAGTATGCGTGTGCGTGTGCCTGTGCGTGTGTGCGTGAGTGCGAGTGTGCGTGTGTGCATGTGTGTGTATGTGCGCGCATGCGTGTGTGTACGTACATCAATGAACCACGTTTCTTTTCAGGACTCACAATTGCTAAGCTGAAGTCTATAAGTATAATGCATTCCCCAACCCTTGCTCGGATAATATCCTAATATATGATAAGATGGATATCACAAGAAAATGCTAACACCAGTTTGACAGTGTTTTTTTTTTTACATAAACCACGGCCTCATCGGGCATATATATATACATATTAATGTAACATAAAAAACCGGTTTTTGCAAGAAAACGAGTTTTCCGTATCGGACCTTCATCCTATTCCTGTTCTACAATGCCACCCACCGTGGGAACTTTAAACCCTTTTACGATTACGCCGTGATATGTCCAGTGTCTTGGTAGTCACAATTTCTGCGTAGCCGAATTACGCTGTAATAAATCGCAGTAATTTTTGTTACACAAACAAACTTTTTTTGTTACAATTTTTGATACAAAACAAAACAATTTTTGTTACAAAAAACAACAAAAGTTTTAGTTGTTGTGGCATAAATACAGTCGGCTCCTTCTTTTGACTAATTATTTGTATGAAATCTGTTCATCATATACGTGTGTTCGTCCTGTCATCGGTTGCTTAATTGGCTATCGCAGCAGCAGCAGCAGCTCATTCGATCCTCTGCCCACCTACATAGAGCCCTAGAACACGCGTCGGATATAGTCGCAAATAGTACTTGCTTGGCAACAGCGCAGATTGAGTTGATCATCTCCACTGGCTAGGAGTAGGAGACTGTTGTGCGTGTGTACACATGGTCTGGATCCGAATGAAGCTAGTGGCAACTGGCTGCACTCTTACTAAGATTGAGCTACTCTATTTATAAATACTGACTTGGCGGTTTCCCGGCAGAGAATAACTGCTCTGGTATCCGCTAACAGTTTGTCAATATGCACTAACGCGACTCGTTTCTGAAAGTATGTTGCTAAAGCAATTGCTTTTTCCTACTGCGAGTTCATTCTATAATATAGAAGATTTGGGTGATGTGACCAATTATTTTCTTTGTTTCTCTATTCGTTCTGTAGTAAGCTGTATATTTTGTTCCTTGTTTTATTTTTTATACATGTTTATTGATACTTTATTTATCTTTTTACTATTTCACCATGACCAGACGACGTGGCTGTCTTTCGGAAATTCACTGGGACCAGATGTGTTATCTCATCACTCAATTGTAATCTGGCATGTTCGTTCTAGATGTCTTTCAAAAACAGTTTAAAATATCAGAAAGGAGTTTTGGGAGGCAATGCTGTTTGTATCAAGGTTTGCTCAGTGGCTTTGTGCATAACTACGAATTATAATAATTTAATAATAATAATAGTAATAGTACATTCATAATATTAATTATGATCACGTGTGTTCCTCTCTCGGCAGATGACAAGGTGTTTGTGCACGGCGCGGCGGCCACGCCGATCCCGCTGCTGGAGGCGATGGCAAAACATGGGCTCAAATCGGGAGTGAAACACGTTGAAGTGATGCACATACACACGGAAGGGGAAGCCATTTACAGTAGGCCCGAATACGAAGGTATGTACACATGCATATACAGTATGTAATATATGTATTAATATAATCAAGATATGTGTGTGTAAACGTTAACAACACACACACATGTACTGGTACCCTTTACATATATAATATATATATAATGATTGTATATATATGTATAGTGTTTAGTAATGCCTGCACCAGTACCAATCGATAGACCAGTACCAGGAAGGTGGGTAGTTGAGCATGAGAGGTATCTGTCTCAAGCAATGGGTTTGAGGGAGGAGCTATAGGAGCTCTGTAGAATATGGACAATGAGTGAGACTTCTGCATAATCGCGTTTGTCATTCGCATCGAATGCTATGTGTCCGACACATGCCGGGTCGACCTTCCGCATCGTGATACATCGAGAGTGTACGTTGTTTCTCTAGGTGTGTTCCGATCGAACTCGCTCTTCATCGGTCCGAACGTGCGGAGCGCCGTCAACGAGGGTCGCGCTGACTTCATTCCGATCTTCCTCAGCGAGATCCCGCTGCTATTCCGGCGCAACCTGGTGCAGCTCGACGTCGCGCTGATCTCGGTGTCGCCGCCGGACAAGCACGGCTTCTGCACACTCGGTCCGAGTGTCGACTGCACCCGCGCCGCCGTACAGAACGCCAAGGTCATCATAGGTACGCGTGAGGTGTACGGAACGTGCGCACGCACGCACGCACGTGCACACGCACATGCATGCATCAACACGCAGGCACGCACGCACGCACGCACGCAAGTACACGCATGCAAGCACACACGTGCACGCATGCATGCATCCACACGCAGGCATGCGCGCAGCCACGCACACGCAAGCACACACGTGCACACGCATGCACGCAAGTACACGCATGCAAGCACACACGTGCACGCATGCATGCATCCACACGCAGGCATGCGCGCAGGCACGCACACGCAAGCACACACGTGCACACGCATGCATGCGCGCAGGCACGCACACGCAAGCACACACGTGCACACGCATGCATGCACGCACGCACGCACACACACACACACACGAGTACACTTTACTTGTGTGTCACTCAAACTGGAGCTTGCTGTGTAAAGTTGTTTAATGCTCACAAAAAATACGTAAGGTGAAAATAGTCGTCATGGGTATGTGTGTGTAAGGTTCACGATAAATGCATCACATTGCGTCATTATCAATGTTTCATATATGCCTAACATTCTAGCGTATCTAGCATAGTAGCAACTTCTTCCCAACTACGTTAGCTAATGTATATATAATATATGAGTGTAGGTGACTCGATAACCTTATGGTTCTTTGCTACCCCCTCTCCTTCATTATATCAGGGGTTAATAATGACAAATTTGTCATTATTAACCCCTGATTATATTAATTATAACGTTACCTGTACATTATCTAATTTATGGTGCTAAGTAAATATTTTTTTTAAACCTATAACTTTGACATGTACTAACAAAAATATGAATGATATAAAGACACAATAAAAGAAAACAAAATAATACGCACCACTGCCACTTTGAGTCGTGGACCGATGTAATCAAGAGCATATTAAGTATGATCATGCATTAAGTATGATATTAAGTAATCATACTTAATACGCTCTTGACGTAATAACGAGTCCTAATCGCGTGCGGGCGTGCGACATTCGTGACGACACCGACGGAGTTACGACGTGCTTGCCATCGCAGGATTGATCAATCCGAACATGCCGCGTACGTTCGGCGACACGGCGATACACATCTCGCACTTCGACATGATGGTGGAGGGTGACAACGAGCTTCAGGCTCACGAAGCTCCCACGCTGTCCGAGGAGGAGAAGCGCATCGGCATGCACATAGCCGGCAACCTGGTTCCGGATGGAGCCACGCTTCAAATGGGTAACGCATTCGCATTTGACGTTGTTTTTTTCTCGTACCTGATCGGTTAACTTTACCTAATCGGTCGGCGTTGCCTAATCCACTGTCTTTACTTAATCCGTTGACCCTTCCTGATACACTGACCTCACCTGACCCATTGACCCTTCCTGATCCACTGACTGTACCTTATCTGTTTGACATTACCTGATCCTTTTATCTCACCTGACTTGTCCAGCTGTCCTCGCTAAACTGATACATCACCATGGCATTGGTCTCAACCTTTTTAGTTGAACTTAACTTTACCCTTGACCTTAACTTTAATCATTTGTTGACCTCTGCAGGCATCAGTTCAATCCCGGTCACAGTGCTGGCACAGCTGACACACGACTGCGACCTTTAAATTGACTAGCTCAGCTGCTAACCTTAACGTTGTTCGTTGACCTCTGCAGGCATTGGTTCAATCCCCAACGCCATGCTTATCTTATTCTGTTGACCTTTTCACCTTGTCCAGTGACCTTAAACTGATCTGTTAAAACCTCTACAGCTATCAGTTCGATTCCAGATGCCATGCTAACGCAGCTGACACACCACCATGACTTTTGACCTGAATTCATCTCATTCATCGACCTTAACCTTGTTCATTGACCTCTGCAGGTATTGGTTCGATCCCGGACGCCGTGCTAGCGCAGCTGACGCACCACCGTGACCTCGGCGTGCACACGGAGATGTTCAGCGACAAGGTGATGGAGCTGGTGGTAAACGGCTGCGTGACGAACGCACACAAGACCATCTACACGGGCAAGATGGTGAGCAGCTTCGTCATCGGCAGCCCCAAGCTCTACAAGTTCCTGCACAACAACCCGTTCGTCGGTGAGTGCAGATGCCAGGCGTTATGTTATGAGCGCCTCAGCGCATGAGCGCTGAATGTGGGCGTGCGTGCATGCGTGGGTGGATGCGTAGGTGCGTGTGTGCGTGTGTGCATGTGTGCGTGTGTGCGTGTGTTTGTGTGCATGCACATGTTGGAATTGCCCAAAACTAAAATAAACACAGCTAGAAATTAGAACACGTC